CTAGTCACTCTTATAAACAAACAAGAAAGTGGTTGTTAAAAGCAGGGCATGAAGTATTTCCGTCTCACTATAATTTATGTAAATCCAAAAGGTTGTGTTACCCTCCTGAAGAATTTATTTTTATCTCAGAAACACGAGCTGAAATTAAACTTCAAGCCATATTGAATAAAACAACTGAACCCTTAATTGAAACAATAAGTCGATTTTCCGAAAATGCATCCTCTAATTTTTCGCTTACATTAATAAGCAAATGGGGATGTGACGGAAGTTCTGGCCACAGTACCTATAAACAAAGATTTGAGAACTCCGATGATAATGATGAATTTCTTTTTGTGTTTGCGTTTGTCCCGTTGAGATTGAGTGATAACTCTTATACTATTATTTGGCAAAATCCTCGGCCATCGTCAACACTTTATTGCCGACCAATTAAATTTATATTTTCAAAAGAAACACAGGAATTTACTGTAATAGAATCAGACAAAGTTTTGAAAGAAATATCTGAACTTCTTCTAACACTGTGTACTGTTGGCGAATTTAAATTCACTGTGAAGCACATCCTGTTACTTACAATGACAGACGGAAAAGTTTGTAATGCTTTAACCGATACGCGCTCTACACAAAAATGTTATATTTGTGGTGCTACTCCAAGAATGATGAATGGCGAATTAAAAGGTATGGTTGATAAAAAAGAAAATTACAATTTTGGTTTGTCTACTTTGCATGCATGGATACGTACATTTGAATGCTTGCTACACATTAGTTACCGTTTAGACATTAAAAAGTGGCAAGTTAGAAGCAATGGGGATAAATGTCGTATGAGAGAACGTTCGGAAGAGATTAGACAAAAGTTTAAAAAACAAATGGGACTAATTGTGGATAGACCGAAACCACATTATGGCAATACAAATGATGGCAACACAGATCGCAGGTTTTTTTTAAATCCAGAAAAGAGCGGAGAGATTACAGGATTAAACGTCAAAATAATTAAAAAATTTAGTGTTTTTATTAAGAACGCTATCTTCTAGTCATGACATTAATTGTGTCAAATTTGAAAAACTTTGTTTCGAAACAAGGACTTTATATTTACATTTATATTCGTAGTATTACATGCCGGTTACAGTCCACAAAATTTTAATGCATAGCACGGAAGTTATTAGGTCGTGTATTCTTCCGATTGGACAACTTTCAGAAGAATCTCAAGAAGCACGAAATAAAGATTGTAGGAGATTTCGAGAACATCATACCAGGAAAAATTCACGCATTTCTACAAATATGGATTTGTTGAATATGCTCTTAATAACATCTGACCCTGTTATTAATTCACTTTGAGAGCTGCCTGCAATAAAAAGCAAAAAATTGCCAGTAGAGGTTTTGAATTTGATTGTTCCGGCTCCAAGAATTGCAAAATGTAACTTGTTCGATGAATCAAATGATGAGTCATCTGAAGATTCAATAGATGAGTGTTTAAAGGATATAAACGACGAGTTTTCTGATAACTAATTATAAAATTTATTGTATAATATTATGTATTCTTGCTTTATAAATATATTTATTACTTCTATTTTTATTATAACAGTGGTTGCTGCAATGAGGGGAAATAGGGGGGGGGGTAGTAGTTAGGGGTAGGGTTTCTTATCCTCCGCAAATAAAAACGTATAATTTATTAAACTCAAGTTAATTATTCAATAAAACAACAAAATATTATTTATATCAACCTTTCATGACTAGAAAAATCGAATTCGTGAACAAAACATTTTTGTCTAGCTAGATTGTATGAGTCCATTCACTGTGCTTCTCAGAAATATAAAACTGAAAATTTTCACATGGGTATTACATTTGAACAGAATAACATTCCGAGGAAAGAAGAAATTTTTGTAATTAGAGATCTGTGAAAAAAAAGCTTTCTGTCGCAATCTCTATAGATCGCGAAAGCTTTTTTTGATATTTGAGAAAGATAACTTTAAGACATGGAGCTTTAATCTTAAATATGTTTATACTTATATAAAACGAGAATGCTTTGCAAAAAGTGTATTGATTGAAGCTAGTTACAAATAACGTTTTAGTCTTTTCCAAACATTGAAAAACACTGTCGTAATTCCTGTATTAAGAAGTTTCGTTATAGTTCCATAAATGAAGAAACTCAGAGTTAAAGATAAAATTTAACAAATTGATAAGTGATTATACTTGATAAGTGATAAATTGATAGGACTTGATAAGTGATAATCTGATATCACTTTCAAAATTTAAGGAAGGTCTTAAAATAATTTACTCTTTTTTACATAAGTATTAGAGCAAACTGGCTTTTTATATACCAACTCAACAAAAACGTCAGAAATTATGTGGAAGCAAAACTGTATATATAGCTTTTATTTTCAAATATCAATTGATTTATTTAAATATTGTTAACGAGATTTTATATACATAACTTTTTTCTACGCCTAAAAAAAATATAAACTGAAAACTCATGCAGGCAATAAACCATTATGATAAAACAAAAATACTAACAAAATGTTATTGTTTTATAACTGGCAGATTTGCAAAAACTCAGGATTTCAAAATGTTTGCCATCTTCACCTATTTGTTTAAAGTTATTTGCATGAAACTTAGTATATAATATTTAAAGTTATTGGCATGAAACTTAGTATATAATATTTAAAGTTATTTGTATGAAACTTAGTATATAATATTTAAGCAAAAGAGTCTCAATCAAATTTCCAAATAATTAGACAATTTATTTTAATTTATAAATTACCACAAACAGAAACTTCTTTCAACATTAAAAAGATAAACTGAAAGAGTCACGTAATAAAAATCCAGGTGGTTGCGCATTGTTTACCAAAATTGAAGAAGAAATTTTTAAAAACTATGTTATAACTATGTCTTCTTTCAGATTCCAAACTGTTTTAATTTACGCAGTATTTTCAAGTATTATGCAAACTGTAAAAAAATGGTTATTAGGCAAAGCGCAGGTAATATGCCTCGTATTGAAAGGTTAAAATTAATGCTTCGTGTTGAATGGCTAAAATCCTAAAGGGTAACAAACAAGTGTTAGATTTGCAAGTAATATTAAAAAGAAAAGAGCAGAATTAGGTACTGTTATTATTAATGACTTTTCTGATAATACCACTCCTGAACTGGCAGGGGTTCCACCATAAAATATTTGATGATCCTGGTAATAAACAAATAATAACAAAGCAAGGATCACAATAACCTTAGAGAATACTTAATTCAACAAAGTCTGCTTCTACTTTGATGTGTTTTAGTAATATAGTAACGAGCAGCCGTGGCACAGTGGTTAGAGTTCTGGCTCAGAACCCAGAGGTCCGAGGTTCAACGCCAGTTCCAGCCCGACAAGCGACATTGGTATGGAAAAAACGTGAATTTTCTGTTAAATTCTCTCCCACAGTGCTCTATGATAAGACTATAAGGACTTCTGGGAACACCTAAAATAACTACAAAAAGAAAAAAAAAAGTAATGCAGAATTTTTCTATATATTGTCTACAAAGCAGGTTTGATGTAGATATCGAGTCTGCTTTGTAGACAATATATGGAAAATCAATTCATTTCTTTCCAAGTTGAATATCTATGTAAATTCGATATTCACATTGAATCTACAAAGGCATTCGAATTGGATAGAAAATGGACCGAAAGAAGCAGGTTATAACTGCTCAATAAGTGGGTGGATTTAAACAGATTGGATTAAAACTTTATTGTTGCCTAAAATAAAAAAACTCCGGGAAGACATGTTCCAAATGAAGACAATTTTTTATTACATACAAGTACTTATGTACTGTCTTCGAGTAAAGAAAATAACATCAAATTTATTGCACTTTCTCCTAACTCTACACATATAATGTAGCCATTGGATAATGGCCTCCGTCATTTCCAAAAGACTAGTTTATTGCATTGCTTAAATGTCTTATGAATAATATTGAAGAACCTGGTTATGAAAGTACAAATATAAATAGAGATAAGACCAAAAAAAGAATGACTACTGTAAAAAAAAATCAAGTTCTAAACAGCAAATTGTAAACACTTTTAAACAGCAAACAATCTATTGACTCATAGTTTTATGGTTGCATAAATTATATAATTTTTTAGATTTTATGTGTTTTAGATATTATTTAGGTTTTTTTTCATTTATAGCTTAAATAATTTTGGAAAGTAGTTTCACGCTGTCAAAAAAACTAAAGCATGGTCAACTTTGTACTAAAGCGAAAGTAAATTTATAATCCACATAACATAGAATATTAATCTGATGGTTTAAAATAATTTGATGATAAGTTTAACATGGTTCCAAAGAATATATTTGATAATGAGTTCAAGATGGGTCCAAAAAATATACTTGATGATGAGTTCAAGATGGTTTAAAAGAATATATTCGATACTTATTTGAAAAAAGTGATCAATTATTAAGTATTTTTATTTTTGTTGAAATTATTTTTGTTAGAGATAACAAACTATTTATTTTTGTTGATCCACTAAATTATTTTTGTTAGAGATAATAAACTAATTATTTGAAAAGACCACTTTAAACTTAAAAGGGCGGGAAAAAAGCATGTTTTTGAATTTTTTTAGTCTGTATAATGCATGTAAGACAAAGTTAGAACTAAAAGAAAACAAAAAATATAGACTGAAAAAATATGATGAACTTATGATGGTATGCGTATTTTAAAACAAAATTTAAAACATAGAAATGAGTCTAATAAAATATAAATATAATGGAAAAAAGAAAAAAATAGAAATATAATAAAAATAAAAAATAAAATTGCAACCATTGGCATTAACAGTTATATAGATTATAAATTTTAAATAATATAGATTTATAAATATGAAGTTCTTAAATATGAAAAAAATTAACAAAACTTCAAAAAAAAAAAAAAGTAAAAAAATATATATATAATCGTCGAGCGTTTAAAATAAAAAATTGCATATTATCTATATAAAAAAATCGCTCATTATTTATCTATATCTATCTATAAAAAAAAAATTAGTTGACTTTTCAACAAAACTTTCAATGTTTTTTCATTAAAATAAACTTCTTAACGTTAACAGTAATATTCTCGGATTTCAAAATGAAATTTTTTTAATAATTTTGATCCTAATGTTAATTATGAAAATGTATTAGGTACATGCTGGGGTAGATGCATGCTAAGTATGAGAAGGTGACGTGATATGGTCAGTGTTGGAGAGCTGCAAAAATAAAGAACAAGTTGCACTAGAACAATCATCTAATTGCTCTTTTATTAACATACACGAGTTTTCAGGATTTGGAGAAAAATGGCGGGAAAACTTATTTTCTAGAATACTGTCAATATTTCTTCTTTTAACAGAATGGGAATGATTGCTAAGCATTGAACTGGTTTCTCTTTTAAAGGAGGTATCATTAACTGTGTAGTTCTCTCCAATTATATCAAAGCGGTGCCGAACTCTTGACTTATGAAATGTATCATTTTCTTTATTAGTTTCATAAGGTGACAAAGTTTTTTTAAGAGGTGGAGGCAAAAGAATCGGAGACTTCTTGTATTCTTTAGAACTATGTTGGTCTTGAATTGTTTGATAACTGAAAAATAAAAAAAATATAATCAATTTATAAAAAAAAACATTTCATTGCAGACTATGTTGTCTATAACTAGTATGCAAATAAAATAATATACAATAAAATGATAGTTTTAAAAAATTAAAAAAAAATCATTTATTTCAATCTTTATTTCAAAATATAAATTATTAGCACAATTTGTAATAATATATAAATAAATTATATATATATATATATTTATAACATAAAAATAAATGACTTAAAAGACCTCCTTACAAATAGAAAAATAAAGAAAATGTGTTAAAAGACCTCCTTACCACACAGTGTCACGAAATGACTTTTAATATGAACCTCGTGACCCAAGAAAACCCTTTTGGGGTATGATAGTGGGGATATATAGGATATATAGGAGTGTATTAAAAGTGATTTTGAAATCTTTTGTCATCGTCCGTGGAAGAAAAATCGAATCAAAGTTTTCTATTATTACTGCTCTAAATAATGACTTTAAATTTCATAGAAAAAAAATGTGACATTTATTTATTCATTCTGTGCATCAAAACACTCTATTTGCAACAAAATACTTACAAATAAAAACATAACAATCATTTTCAGCAAACTGTCCTCCATGAAATGGCTGTTGTTTAATGTTCATCATCTTTGGCCACTGTTGCATTTCGCCATAACAAACAGAGATTCTTGAAGAGGTGGTTGGCAATGCCAAGTAGAAGGTGAAGTTCCATTGTTGGAATGAAGTCTAAGATGAGTGTATCATCTGGCAATCTGATAGCAGGCTGATGCACAACATTTAGAAAGTCCCGTGCTCTTTTTTTTTGGCCACGTGCAGCTCGGAATAGATTCTGAATAAATCCAAAAGTTCGGAGCTCACAACTCAGATGAAGATTCTTAGATTCAATGTCACACCAAGTACAAGGATTTACACTGGAGTAAGACTGTAAACCACAAATGAGCCAGTTTCATGTCACAGGACAACACAAAAGACATCCTTTCAAGGCACAATTTGTCAAGAATTTGTTTCACATTGCCATACTTTTCAGGGAGATTTTCTGAAACAGCTACCAACAATTGGCGTTTCACACCTAAATCTTTGAAAAGAGGCTTTTTGGATGGTTGAGAGACACTTTGTGCGTCTAAGGCAATTATTCCTAGAGAAACTTTCAAGAAACCTACTCCTCCATCTATTCCAATCTTTATAAGTTCATTTGACTGTGGAACTCGAATTTGGATGACAGTGTTTTTCAGAGAAATAAGATCTTTGCAGTGCACAAGTAGTGTCTTGGACTCATGGCTGTCAGTTTTGATTGTGTCCATAATGTGGCAGGTAACAAACAAACCAGAAAAATGCTTTCCAAGTGACTCAAACTTTTCCCTAAAGTTATTCTCAACTAGGCAATGTGGAGTAATTTGATCGAGAGTTGAAACAAGCTTGTTCATTCCTCTGTTAGATAAGCCAGTCTGATTTTGAACTTGTAAGAGCTGTTGACCAGACAAAGTAGATGTTGGTGGAAAAAAGTTCTCTTTGCCTTGAAGATCCTAAAATTAAAATTATTTCTTTCATCAACATTTAATTAAAAAATGCTAAAAGATTGAATTTTACTCACAGTATTTATACAAAGAGTCACTGGAAGATTTCTTCCCAATCCTTGGCTAAAGCAAACTGTGCCATGAGGAGATTGTGTCTTGTTGGGAATCACTGTAGCAGCCACCCTCTCAGCAGTTTTTCCATCTTTAGTTGCAACTTCAAGTAAGTTTTGTCTAAGCATTCCTTTGGTGCAGACATGGGGATTACCTCTTCCAATCAGTGAAAAGCATGCAGAACAGCGTTTTTCAACAGCTGGCAGTTGGTGGATTGGTTGGGTTATTTGGCTTGACTGGTTTGGGGCTTTTCAACCTTACTTTCCCAACACAACAAATCAAGCAATCACAAACTGATTGTTGTTGGCCGATCTTTAATTGTTTGATAATCAGGCAAAAAGGGAAGTTGGACATCATGACCTGCCTCTTTTCTTCTAAGAATAGTGCAATATTTTTCACAAACTCCAACTGGAACTCTTTGGTCTTAAAAGTTGATTGGTCGGCCAAAGACTTTGTGGTAGCTTTTAATCATAACAGCAGTGAGTTGTCTAGAGGATTTATTTAAACAAAGAAAACATACAGTTTTCCTGTTTTCATCATGACATTTTGCTTGATTAGGCATTTTAGAAATGTTGATTGCACTTTTGCTCTTCCTAAAATTTTCTAAACAAATGCTTTTGCATTTAGCCTATTCCCGAAATTTTTAAAATAAATAAACGATGTATATAACTCATTTAAAAATGTAAACAATATCTCTATTTGCAACCTTTATGACAAAATATAGCAAATTCTTGCCTTAAAATAAGCTTTTACTTGCTTTGACTTCACAAAAACTTCGAAAAATACTTAAACTTCAAATCAATTTTTCTTCCACGGACAATGACAAAAGATTTTAAAATCACTTCTAATACACTCCTATATATCCCTACTATCACAGCCCAAAAGAATTTTCTTGAGTCATGAGGTTCATATTAGAAATCATTTCGTGACACTGGTACCAGGAGAAAAATATAAAATTCTGTGTTAAAAGCATCAACAAAACCTGTTGATGCTTTTCTGGTTTGACACCCACACCAATAAATCTTTTGATTATTTTTAATAAATAAAAGTTAAAACATACGTCAACATCTTTTATACTGCAGAACTTTTTTATCTTGTTCTTGGTGAAAAAAAAACAAAACAAGTATATTATTTAGTTATGAAGTTTTACCAGGTTATTTAAGTAACAGCAATGCAGGGTCTCTTTCCTTTCTTTCGCCACAGTTTTACTAATCTTATTTGCAAACTTGCACAACTTCTTTATGTAAGATTATGTTAATCTGACTAAAATGAAATCAATAGAGTTTGTTGCACAAATGCCGTCTTGCTTTTACTCCCAATTACACTGAAAAAGATTTTTTAATTTCGTTCTACCATTCATTTTTTAAATTTTGTTCTGATGCTCCATAGATTTAATTTAATATACTTGCAGAAAGACTTATGGCTAGTTGTCCCTAAAGTAGGTTTTTGGCCAGAACAAAGAGGTCTTTGACTATTTTGTATATATGGTATATGACTTTGACTAACTTTAGGCCCCAATTTAATGTTATATATATGTAAAACATGTAAAATGATTTAAATAATATTTTTTTTCTTATTTTAGTTTTTCTTCTTGTTTTTCTAATACAAATTTTCTATTTTAAAAAAAAATGTTTAAATTTTAATAAATCTGTTTGACAAACTTTAACTTTAACAAATGTTTGCTTTGAAGTTCTCATCAAAATATTTCAGCTCAGATCAGCATAGAATAGCATAAAATCTTCAATATAATGTATTATATGTATATAATGTATTATTATATTGTATATGTTTGTATATATTGCATATATTTATATAAATATAAACTAAAAGTTAGTAAAGTTTTTAAAACCTTTATCTGTCATTATGGATTAACCCCCAAAAATAAATAGTGCATAAAACTACAGCTTTATACTATTTTTGTATACATTATCTTACAATATTTTACTACAAAAAGTTTGCAGGAAAAACTAAATAAATAAAAGCCATATGATTCAAACGAACTTTAGTTCTAAAAGTTAGAAATAATAAAACTTTAAAATAGGAAAAAAACAAGCAGGTTTGCAATGATGTAATCAATATTGATAATAGTGGGGTACTTGTTTTGTAAGCAGGAGGTACAGAGTTAGAAAAAAAAATAAAGGTTGTTACGAGTAAATTTGTATAAATAAATTCATAGAAACAGAACAAATCTGAAGAAGATATTATAGCAACAATATTCAAAATAAAGATAAATAAGAAATTTATAAATAAGGACAAAAGAGCCAGAGGTAGACTAATAATGAGGATAATATAATAAAAATAATGAAATATAAAATTCTTTTTTGCAATTGACTTGTCATGATAAGTAGAAAAAAAATAATCAAAAAATATATAAAATTTGTTTCTGCTCTTGAAATATACAAATTTTTGTTATTAATTAATGAGTTAGCTGCGAACACCAAGGTGAAAAAATTTTATTTTAAAATGGTAGTTCTTTCTTGGTAATCAAAGAAAGAAAACCAGAGAAAGACTGGAATATATAGTTATGCCATTAGCAAATAAGAAGTAAAGGAAGTCAGAAAAAAACTAGAATATATAGTCGCCTATTAGCAAATGAACGTAAGCTAAGCAACACCGAAAACTTAGGTAAAAAATGTTTTAGAAGACCCATTGAGAAATTTTTGAAAAAAAATGTGTTAGAAGCTTTGAAAGAAGCAAGCTTATGCCATTGAGAGATAAAAAAAAATTCAAGGAGAAAATAAAATTAAAATCTGAGTTTAAAAAGTGATAAAATATTTTAAAACTTTTTCAAAAACTTGATAACTTTTTAGTATAAAGAACTTTTAGGTTTCATAACTAGAAAATTGTGCTAGACAACTAACTAAACATTAACTAACAATCAAAATACTTAGTTTACCATGATAAGCATGCTCCAGTTTGTGTACTTTTATGTATTTGTGAGTTTCTTGAGTATATTCTCATTAAAGGATCATTGAAGCTTGATTCAGGTTGCTGTAATAACCGCTTTTGTATAAATAACTCATCCACAAGAGTTCTATTAAATAATGTTAATTTAAAATAAGTATGTAAAATTGGAAGAAAAATTAATTTTAATACTAATCATCTCTCTATGAGATACGAGATTAATACAAAACCAAAGACTACAACTTATATGTTGCCTTTGAATTATAATATCTCAATAATCATTTGGGAGATTTTCTTAAAATTTGGAACCTTAAAATTGGAACAGGTTTTTGTTTGAGAAATTCAAAAATAACACTCTAGGGATTTGATATTCTCACAAGATACATTTTTTTATTCAGTTTTATTTAAAAAATTGATAATCTCACAAGATACCTCATTAATTTAGTTTTATTTTTAAAAATTGACTTGCAAATTATTGATTTTTAAAGCAAAATTTAGTACTATTTAGTGACTAGTTGAGAACTAACTAGTCATAGACTAGGAAAGATACAAGTGAGAGCTTCTGCAAAGTAATATCTCCTTGGCTTTTTTATAAAGTAAAAATGTATCAATAATGAAACAATATTTCTCAAACACAGCTTAAAAACAAAATCAATAAAAATTATGCTTAATTTTTCAAAATTTTTTGCTTCTATTTGAAACTTAGAAACTTTTTGTCTTATTGCTGTTGAACTAATTTTTATTATTTATTTTGTACATCATTAACAAAATTTTGCAGCAGAAACTAATGAAGAAAAGCAGTAGAAACTAATAAAGATTTTAATTCACTGGAATTCATAGGAATGGAAATCAAAAAGTGAGAAAAGGTATAAGTTTGATACCTTTTTGTATATATCATACCTGATTCATATGTATATATCTGACTTTATTTGACTAACATGAGCAATTAGTTACAAAAGAATTATTTTAAATTAAATTTTACTTTTTTTCATATTTTATTTATTTGTTTTACACAATTTGATTAAATATTTGGGAAACAAACTAAAAGTTTAGTTTTTTTAGTGTACTTTATATGAAGCAATGGTATTCGATTAAACCTTTTCCTAGAGATGTTGGATGACAGCTTTAATTTTTAATTTAAAAACCGATAGTTGACAAATCAATAGCTTCGAACAAAATTGAATAAAGAAAACATTGCTGTAGACTATATAATCCCAGTGTGCTGTTATTAATTCCTCAAGCAAAAATTTGTTTTGTTTTCTTTTTAGATCATACTCAAATGCTGAATCAGCATTAATTCAATTGACAACAACTCAATTCTTTTAAAAATTTTTGCCATTACTATTCATTTATAATGGATTGCATATAGAGTAAAAATGAGTCATAAGGATAACAAAAAAAAATTTTTTTTATGATATAATGACCCTTTATGTACTAAAAATAGAAATAAAAAACTCTCGATCTATTTATAATGATCTATTTGATGGTTGCATGCATTAAAATATTATATGCATTGAAACATTAATATAATGCATTATATTATTTAAAATTTGTTTCATTAAAACTAATATTTAATAGCAAATAATATTATCACCTAATTTTTTCTTCAAGTTCAGTGACCTTTTGTTGCAATAAATCTTTCTCACTATCTTTTTGTTTTAACCTGCCACAAAGAAAATTTTTTAATAAGTATGGCATAATGCATCCAATATTATTTTACTAGTTTTGAGGTGCTGAATAAAAAGGGGAGAAGCTCATGATAAACAAAAGGATCAAAAATGTTTCTAAAATCAAATAAAAAGGGGATATTATTAAATAAGAGAGTTATAATTTTAAAAAAGCTTGAAATTTCAAAAGAAAAAAATTAAAACAAAAAAAAAAAGTTTAACTCTAAAAAACAAAATTTCTTCTTTTTTAAATAAAAAATACTTAAAATTTTAGAATGTTGCTAGCGTCTAACAAAAAATTGCCGACCTCGTTTCTTTGTTTTGACCTCTCACAGTTTAAGGTTGGCAGTTTATTACCGACCTCATTTTTCTAATTCTGTAGGCTATATATATATATATATATATATATATATATATATATATATATATATATATATATATATATATACACACACACAATAGTATTGCGTACTAAGGTAAGCAATCTGACCTCATACTGAAATAGCCTGCTGCTGGGGGCTTCAGTACATACATCAACTGACAAATAGCCTGACTCACAGTGGAGTGCTGCTACATCAACTGAGGGTTTGGGATGGGGAATCAATCGTTTCATTCATCATTCTTTGTTTTTTCTTCTTCTTTTTCTAAAAAAAACGATATAGCTTAAGGTAAGCAGAAAAAGTGAGCAAATGCTTATCAAAACACGCTTTAGTAAGTGTATATATATATATATATATATATATATATATATATATATATATATATATATATATATATATATATATATATATATATATATATATATATACATATATATATTTAAATATACATTTGCCAACAGTACTAAATGTTGAAGTTTGTTGACTGTACTATATGCCCTACATATGCTGACTCCCTGGTCTAAAAGAGCTAAATTTGCTGATTTAATGAACAAAAATTCATTGATAAGGTATCACACATCATTTGTGCTAGTCTTGAATGAACAGTGGCTTATAATGATACATGAGGTCCCCTAGCACTGTTCTCTTCCCCCGTCTGTTTAAAGCGGAAGAACATTACTTACTTTACACAACGCTTAAACCATCTAGTTAAACTGAATACTTTTTAACAAAATGATAACTTACTTGTCTTTTATGACTTTTAATCATGACTAAAACCCTGACCAAATTTACCAAGAATTAAATGTATTTACATTTAATTTTTGGTATTCCTATTGCTAGTCAATGTATTTTTGCCAAACAATACACAAAAAATTATCATATAAAATTATCTATATATTTAAATCAACATTTAAATATATACATTATTATCTATACATTTAAAACAATGTTGTTAAAATATGTTTTGGTCTGCAAAAAAATTGGGGGTTAATATTTGAAAATGAAAGCAACAACTTCTATTTAAATTTGTTTAAAATTCAATTTTTATTTTTATTTAAATTTGTTTTAAAACACATGATTTTTTTAATGACTTCCTTTATAAAATATATGAAAATTAAAATAGACACTGTAATGATTTATACAAATTTATAAAAACAATTTATAAATATTTTCATATTTTTAAAAATAAACTTCATTACTTCATTACAATAAACTTTTTGCCCAATAATGATAAAAAGGTTTCCAATCAAAATAATGATAAAAAGGTTTCCAATCAAAATAACAATAAAAAAGTTTCCTATCAAAATAATGATAAAAAAGTTTCCTATCAAAATAATGATAAAAAGGTTTCCAATCAAAATAATGATAAAAAGGTTTCCAATCAAAATAATGATAAAAAGGTTTCCAATCAAAATAATGATAAAAAGGTTTCCAATCAAAATAATGATAAAAAGGTTTCCAATCAAAATAACGATAAAAAAGTTTCCTATCAAAATAATGATAAAAAAGTTTCCGATCAAAATAATGATAAAAAGGTTTCCTATCAAAATAATGATAAAAAGGTTTCCAATCAAATGAAAAATTGAACTAAAGTAACTAAACTTTTCAATAAAAATATATTGCTTTATATAAATGAAGAATGCTTTTAAAATCCCAAAACAGCAAACTTCAGGCATATTATAACTAACAACAATACAATTAACAAATCTTAGCAAATTATAAAAACATCGGGGGTTCAAAAACAACTAAACATATAATTAGGCTGAAAATTAGTACCAATTAAAAGAATAAAATGAACAAGATTTTGTGTACAGTTGGTACTTTATCAAATGATCAATGTCACAAAATGGTGTACACTAAATCAATTGGATTAAAAGATGAATCAAGCTATTCAGAGAGAGATGGAGATCTGGGCTATCAATATTAAAGGTTAATGTTAAAATCTGTTTACATCATGAGCAAATTTTATTTAAACAGGTTTGCTAACTCTCAAAAAAATTGCATCGACCCATTTAAAAGGCATAAAACTAATATAAAAGGTAAATTTATATGTTCTTAACTTCAATTTATATGTTCTTATTATGCTTTTTACAAAAAATATATCAAGTACAATTTTAACTAGTTTGAAAAATTTTAATTTTTTTATTTTAAGTTATTAAATCATCTAAACTAATATTTCCTAATTTTTGGGGAATTTTTTTTCATTTATAATGTATTTATAATGTATTTATAAATTTATTTATAATGTATTTATAAATTTATTTATAATGTATTTATAAATTTATTTATAATGTATTTATAATGTATTTATAATGTATTTATAATGTATTTATAATGTATTTATAAATTTATTTTTCATTTATAATGTATTTATAATGTATTTATAATGTATTTATAATTTTTTTTTCATTTATAATGTATTTATAAATTTATTTTTCATTTATAATGTATTTATAAATTTATTTTTCATTTATAATGTATTTATAAATTTTTTTTTTCATTTATAATGTATTTATAAATTTATTTTTCATTTATAATGTATTTATAAATTTATTTTTCATTTATAATGTATTTATAAATTTTTTTTTCATTTATAATGTATTTATAAATTTTTTTTTCATTTATAATGTATTTATAAATTTATTTTTCATTTATAATGTATTTATAAATTTTTTTTTCATTTATAATGTATTTATAAATTTATTTTTCATTTATAATGTATTTATAAATTTATTTTTCATTTATAATGTATTTATAAATTTTTTTTTCATTTATAATGTATTTATAAATTTTTTTTTCATTTATAATGTATTTATAAGTGTTTTGCGAGATATCGGTATTCAACTGGCGAAAGATATGTGTTCAATTGGTATTGAAACAACACCTGGTTTTGAAATGTGTCCTTTATGTTGAAAAGATGTTGTAAAAAAAATAGATTGGTCTACCTTACAGGACCACAATGTTGAAGATGATTTTCTGAAAAAAACATTTTTTGATGAAGATATAGAAACTGCACAAGAAAAAGAACTTATAAACACCAGTTTTTATAAATTGGATATATCACCAATAAAATTTCATTGGGTTCCACAACATGTTGAAATTTCTCTAGGGAAAAGAAAATTAATGCAAGCTACTGATGTTATGTCAAAAAGGTATCATTTATCCTCAATGTTAATGCAACAGACCTGAATAATGATGTTACTGAGGAGCCCAATGCTGAACATCAGAAGAAAGCTGAAGATTTAGATAAATTGATACTTTCAATTTTGCTGTTTTCAGTAAAAAAAAGCTGAAAACAGCAAATAGAAGAGAAAAGATTCAGATTTTAACACTGGCTCCAGATTTATGGTCTTTAAGGAAAGCAGCTGAAGTATTCAATATTTCAACCATAACTAAAGCAAGAAAACCTAAATTTGAAAAAGGAATATGAACACTTCCAGAAAAAACTAACATTGTTAGAATTGAATCCGATATCATTAATAAGGTCGAAAGCTTCTATTGTAATTAGAGTTTCTGAAAAACAGCAGTTTTTAAAATTTTATCTAGTGGATTACTGGAAGTTGTTTCAATGATATTAAATTCATGAACATTAAAAAGTTTAGATGCCAACATTCCTGCAAAAGTTATCATATCTCTAGATGGGGTTACTGTAGAGTTTTTTAGACAGCGTAATAAATTCATGACATCTGTATTCAGGCATTCATCAACTCTAATTTTCAAATTATTCATAAATTTTTTGCTAATTCACTGTTAACTAAAGAAAGTTTTTCAAATATAAATTTTAAAATCATGTCAGCGCTCAACAGAGTTGCATCTTCTCTACTAAGATTTTCTATAGCAAGTTTAATAGAATTCATTGCTTCTAGTAAACCTTTCAAGGCATCGAAGTCTACATTATTGGCTAAACTTATATTTGCCTTAAATTCTAATAAAGTTTCTCAAATTGCCGTCTCTGTTTTTATCAATGGCTCAAGCATTATTGGTATTGTGTTCCAATGAGTTTTTACATCAAGATAAAGTTTAATTTCTTTTCCAAGCAGAGCCTTGACTTTTGATTGAAAAAATTTAATTCGAACACTTGGCAGTTTGATGTATTTTATCATTTTGCATGAGTCCTTAAGTAAATTATTGTAGTGAATATAATCTTCGCAATCATCATTTACAAATTCAAAATTGGTGCCTTTGTCAAAAAACCATTTTCATTGTTATCGTCATCACAGGGGTCGCTTAAATCTTCAATATTATGTTTTTTTGTATAAAGTGTGTCATATACTTCAAGATTTATATCATGATTAAGACAAAATTGACCAATAACATATTTAGATGTTTATTTTATTATTTCAACCATATCAAGCGCACTGCATGAACCTATAATTCAAACGCTGACACTGTCCTTCCAACTCTTTTGCAATTGGATTTTTCTGTTTTGTTGTGTATATCCAGACTGACATAGCTAATAATATGAATAGAAAGTATTCAGTATTCAGTAACTTTTAACTATGCATTTATTTTTAAGTCAATGTAAATAAGAAACTGGTGCTAGAAGCCCTATTTATAACTCTAAAGAAACTCTTAATAAACCTTTAAGAAACATTTAGTAATAGATTAGTAAAAAA